CTCTGGTGAATTTGGAGTCCCTGAATTAATTAAAGTGGCCGCTAAAGTGAAGAAGTCTGCGTGGGTCACTTCACTTTCTGAAGTTCAGAAGTGGGAAGCTGCCAAAAATGTAGCGAGCTTTCTGGCGGCGGGGACCGATTCGGACTGATTGGACTCGTGTGACGTTGTGTTGTATGTAAAGTATATTGTTGGTTTGTGGAAACCGTAAAAAAATTGCATTATATTTTTTTGTGTAGGACGCCCCCTCCCCCGCTGAATAATAAACTTCCGCTACCGAGTCCGGAGACGAGAATTGTATGCGGCCCGTTACAGCACCCCGTTTCAGCGACATACCGTGCGTACACTACAAGAGTGGAACACGGAATATATGAAAACAGTTTGTTCGCTCTCGATGTAAATAAAAAATGAGCTGATAAGTACTCCGCCGAGACCAATGCGACCGATAAATATATATATATATATATTTATGAATTTTGATATCATAAACCCTTTCCTCTAGAAGGGGTAGAATTTTTTTCTTAATTTCACTTTTTTCGAGCAAATTTTTAGAGATTGAGATCTAAAAATTAGACCGAAGGTAGATCTAAAATGGAACCATACCATATATAATTTACTCAAAAATCTGAAGTCAAATTTTTTTTTATTAAGGAAAACCCCAAAAATAGGATAAATTTACACATTGGCCGTAGTCAGTTTCTAGATTGCTATGTGTGTGTGAACCAACAGTCAACAATAATTATTAGTAACAATAATTATATTGTTAGTATTATTAAGTACATTATTGTTGGACCCACCATATCTTCTAAGCCACTATAACTGGTTTGAACGCACTATCCACATATTTGCATTGAGCGTTTATTTAAAAATGATTTAATCACTTTCAGTTACAATAAAATACCTGTGAAAGCCCTGTTACATCTCCGTCCCCATTATGCCCCGACCCCCAACTGTACTGGTTTTTGATTAATAATAATTTGTACTATTTTATTTATAATTATTTTTTGTTTATAATTTTTACATTAACAATGTAATCAAATACTGTGTGTAAATACTATTTATAGTTGACTAATGCTCTGTCAGTTGTCATGCCATATGGCGGACCGCTTACTATTTCTCTGTTAGAAATAATTAAAATTGTATATTAATAAGTATGGATATGGTATGTATTGGGAATTTTAAAATGTTCTATTATTAACTGTATTAGTATTTGTATTTTATTATTGTAATTAAAATCATTGCCTTTAGATACGGCATTTGTACCTGGACGTTTTTTTTTTATATTTAAAGCTCAGTTAGTATAGTTCAACGGTTATTTTGATTTCAGAAATAATATTTCATTTACACATTTTTTACCCTTTGCTATTTTAAAATTATTTTTTAATTTAATTTTTTATTTAACTAGAAGATAATTAAAGGAAAAAAATATTTTTTTTTTAAATTTTTGTGGTCAAACTAGTTATGATAATTTTGTGATTAAATATCAGATATTTTCCATATTTTTTTTTTAAGAGAGTAGTACTAAAATTTAACAAGTTTTATCCACATATCAATAAATTACACCAGGGGTTCCCAACAAAATGTTGTCAGGGACCTCTTAACAAACCACGAATGTATTGAGGACCCCATATAAATGTAAATTATATATATATAAAACTCCAGAACTGGGTACATTTTTTTTTAATTTTAATTTTTTTACCGTTTTTATTATTACTTTTTACTTTAGCCATTTTTTAATTCACAATGAAAACACAAACAAAATTAGACTGTATGCCTTGTAAGCTTAACACTGACTGAACGAAAGACAAGATATGATAAAGCTAAATTATTCTTTTATTTCATATATTACAAGTATTGTTATCTCTTATCAGTTAGATTAAATAAAATATAATATCATATGATGTGACAAAGGAGGGAAATTGGATATGTGACACGGCGGCAGATATGTAAATCTGCATCATTAATATCGTTCGTCATCAGTAATTTCGAAGACATGGTCTTTAATTTTTTAGAGAAACTCTCAATATTTTCATCATCATATCTGTGGAGAAAAAACAAATTTGCATATTATAAACAATATAAATTAATTTTAAGCAATTTTATAGTATTAAAAAATAATTTCTTAATTGATGACAACTAAAAATGTATATGTTATATCAAATTTGATGAATAGTACTTCCTACCTGATGATAGCCTGTTTGCTGAATTGGGAGTGAATACTTTATTTTCAATCAGCTTACTCAATTTTTTGGTTGGCACACCTACCAAAAAGGTTATTTTGTCAGTTACGTTTAAATGCTAATACTTATTCAATATAAAACGTTGAAAATTAATAATAAAGGTTTTATTTATATATATCTTGGTTAAACATCATAACAATATCAGATAATAAAAAAGTTACTAACTTTGGCTTTTTTGTTCACATTCAAAAGAATAATCATTTGTAACTTTGAAAGGGGACGCTACAATCTTAATAATATAACATTCATCATCACTACTTCCTAAAATAATATTGTAGTATAGAATTAATATAAAAAAACAAGAAGTATTTACATTTAAACAAATAATGACCATTTGAGTTAGTATCATATATGCATATTATGATTATTAAACCAATATTATTAGGTACTACTAATAAATATTTAGCTATTGAAATATCATTGGAAAATTATAATAAAATATGAAAATAGAGTAGATTTAAATACATTATCATATTTATGATTACTACATACTAACGTATGAGTACCCATTGGGTATAAAAGTAATTTTGTTTTTTAACCTACACTTAAAATAGTACAGAAATAAATACTCTACGACAGACTGTCTGTCGTTAGCATTGAAGATGACAATATTTTTTGTTAAACTACGTGTGTGTATGCATAGTGTATTATTTTTATGGTTTAGGGTTTCAATATTTATTTATTTACTATATATAACCATAAGTTGCTTAGAGTTTTTTCTAGGTACACTTAAAATGTTTGTTTCACTAAACATACATTACAATTGTAATTTCTTAGTTGAAATTAAAAAAACCAACACTATAAATATTATAATACTAACTTTGGTGTTTTTTCAATTCCGCCACTAGTTTGGACATAACCTTCATCAAAGTTTAGATACCTTTTTACATTAACTTGCTTTGTGTTATTTGCGAATCGTTTTAGTTCTAATTAAAATATTATAACAATCAGTATCAAAATTATTCTATAGATATTATTGTACCTAAAGAGTACATTCAACATTTAAATTATTAAAATAAATAATATTAATTAAAAATCACAAGTAAAACACTAAAATTGAACAACAAAAAAAAAGGATTGTAAGGTAATGACGATTATTGTTGTAGCCGTGATTACGATTATGTTTTTTTTTTCTTATCATTTTCTTGTACGAATTGTTACCATTTTTTAAGTCGATATGAACAATATTTCGATATATTGTTATATTATAAGTTTTTTTTTAATTTGTTTGTGTACTTAAAATTATTCTAGCAAAATTATAAATTTAATATTTTTTAAATAGTCGTCATATCATGTTATCCACAATTTAGGTCTAGCTTTAAAATTCAATTGATTCATAGGTTCAAGTCTTAATTATAGTATAAAATTAAAATATAAGCTATTTACGGTTACATTGCAATATTTTCTTCGATAACTGCAACTTTATATTCAATGCAAATGTAATTACTAAAATGTTTTATTTGTGATTTGTTTTTAAAATTATTCAATGTAAATCTAATTATGTCTTTGTTGTGCAATAATATAAAGAGGTGCCCAATTATTTAATTATGTTTATATATTTGTAGTGTAAGTATTTTGTATATACAAATGGGTATTTAAAATATAAATGCTTACCTTCACTTGATACAGGAGAATCAGATGCTTGTCTTTTGTTTGAACATAATAAAGGATGTTTTCCCATGTTTTCATCACTGGAATCTTCCACCACTATAATATATAAAATATTTAGAACTTTATATAACTCATTAACTAGTCATATTAGTAGCATCTTTTTAAACTTAATTTGTAAAATAGCTCTTATTATAATATTTTCTCACCTAATAAAATATTTTCTTTGGTTAGCTTATATGATGGTTTTTTAACGATGTCATCTTGATTTTCACTAGTGTCGCTTCTGTGTTCATCGACTAATAAATAATAACACAAAATTACAATAAAATAAAATAGCATAAAACAGCTCTATTATTTTTAGTTAACTAATTGTAAGTACCTCTACCACATTGAAACACAAAGATAAAGAAAATTTTAGAGTTTTACTACTTTTAATAAAAACATTTATATCAACTTTCATAATACTAAAAGTTGTATGACTACAATTAACTAGTCCATATAAATGGACAATGAGCATATTTTTCTTTAAAATGTTCCCCCCTTATTATAGGCAGTAATTTTAGCAGATAACTCACTAAAAACTAAACATGCTTAAGATAATGGTTTACCTATTGAATATCTTTCCTGATTAAAGGTTGGTGGATTTGGAATGGTTGTAGGCCCGTATATTATAATATTATATACTATACGACGTCTTACCGGTTATGGCTATTATTTATTTAGTTATTCTCTGTTATGCCGAGGCCATATGCTAATACAGTATATTAGCATATATTTAGGCAGAAGTCGGATACGAACCCACGCCCTCAAATTATCGGGTCCGTCGCCTGTTCGGACATTTGTAATGACGCATTGGTAATGGGTTAGGTTTATAGTTTTGTTTTCTTGCTCAGTCACGTAAGAACACGGTAGTTAGATTTTCTTTTTAACTAACCGGCCGGGTCGAAGTTTATTTGCGCCAAACTAAATATTGTTTTAACTAATATTGTTTTATTTATTTTCGTCGTCAAGAGTCCGCCCGACCACGAGACGTTTATTTTTAAATATTATAATATATTTTCCTCTTCGTTCGTTCAACGACGTACTATACCTAACCGTGCCGTACAGCCAAAAAACCTTCGGAGCGGTTTCACTGAAATGTCGACATCCGCCATGGATTTGTTGTGTTGCGAATCGCCGTCTCTGAGCGTGGCGCAAAAGGATCCTGCTCTGCTGTCCGATGACCGGGTGTTTACCACTATGCTGCAAACGGAAGTTCGGTACCTGCCCAAACCCGATTACTTGCGGCTAATGCAGAAGGAGATCACGCCCGACCTTAGGAAGCTCGTCGTCGACTGGATGTGGGAAGTTTGCGAACAGAAAAAGTGTCAAGAAGACGTATTCCCGTTGGCAATCAACTATATGGATAGGTTCTTGTCTCTCAAACCGATACAAAAAAAGCACCTACAGCTGTTGGGCACCACTTGTCTTATGGTAAGCTCCAAGCTCCGTGAGTCCGACTGCTTGTCCGGTGACCTCCTGGTCTTGTACACTGACAACACAATCACGGCCGAAGATCTGCTTACGTGGGAGCTGCTCCTGTTAAGCATCCTGAAATGGGACGTGTCTGCCATTACAGCTCATGACTTTCTATGGTATATACTTAAAAGACTGAATTTCTTGGACCCAGCCAAAGCGTACGTGGACGTTGTTATTAAACACTGCGGAACGGTCATCGGCATGTGTGCCAGAGATTATAACTTTTGTTCGTACCAGCCAAGCATTATAGCGGCGGCCAGCATTGCAGCCGCTCTGAATGGACTAGACTACACGTCCGTCAACAAGTTGGATTTGTTCACTAAACTTAACCACATCACCGGGTTGAAAAGTGAGTACCTGAAGACTTGTCAAGAGCGAATCGAAGAGATGGCAAAGACGCACAAACGAGAACGCAAAGAGCTGGAGTTTGGAATGTACGTCAAACCGTACACCAAGACCGCCATGGTCGAAGACATTATATAATTTAAGTAATTATATAGACATTTAAATTATAAATTAAAAAAAAAAATGTTACTATTTTGAAAATATTAAATTAAATATGAAACAAAAACGATAATAATTATAATAATAAATTAAATATTTTTCAACCTCTATAATACTAATTTTAATGTTTTTTTTTAGCAGTTCAAAAAAACTGTTTAAACTGTGTTCACATGTTTAATATTAAGCGATATAATAATGTTTTTTTTTTTAAAATAGTTAAGGTTTTTAAATTTTAGGAGTAGAGAAATTTGTTGTGTACGATTAGACTTCTTAATGCTCATAATAAATGTTTTCTGGTGGTTTTGTTAACTATCATTAAATGTTAAGTTTTTTTTATTTTTCCTTAACACAATGTTTTTTTTTTTTTGAAACAATTTAGCAAGTATTAATTGAGCATACTATTAAGTCTATATAAATATTTAGTTTACTATTTAATATTGTTAAAAGGTATTTCGCTTATTTTATGCGCAAAATACATTTTTCTGGAGAAGGAAATGGTGTATGTTAAGCCCAACACGTGCGAAAAAATCCCATTTATATTATATGCAAATACTAAAACTATATGTATAACCTGAATTGATTACACCGCAGACGGCGGCTGAAGGTTGGTACCATCGGTCATTACATTGTAATGGTATATATATATATATATATATATATTTTGAACATTCATACAATTTATTTAAATGGGGTTTTTTTGTATAATTTATTATCCTGTTTTCTTAAACCTTTCAGACAAAGTACAATATTTATAGCTGCCATTTAATTGTACACCTTTTTTTTTAGGCGGACAGTAGTGGGCGTGGACCACTCACGCACTGCACCGTAACAAATTATATATACATATATAATATATATGTATATATCGTACCCCCCGCTTAAAAAGTGACTCAACTCGATAAATGCCATTTTCCAATAGAGCCATTTAAAAAAAAAGTACAACATAATGTAAAATATTGTAATACCAGAAGTTGCGTGGGCAATAACTTATATAATATAATATATATTAAGTTATGGCACATACATCGGTGCAAAATAATAATAATATACTTATGACGTTTTGCCACAATAATGTTACGATATTTATTTAAAATATGCTATAATAACCTCAAAAATCATGTTTTTGAGTTGTGTCACTTTTTAAGCGAGGCGGTGCGAATGTACGCACATGACACTGCAAGCCTGTGTCATTCTTTGTACCTAATCTCCATAAAATAACTTCTGCTAACCTAATAAAGGGTTATCGAACAATTGTTTTAACAATGTGTTAAGGTTCACAAATCTCGATGAAACCCAATTTACATTAACCATAATTTAACTACAATTTACATTAGCTATACTTATAGTTGTTCGATATAATTACTAATAAGTTAAATTCTTAACAAATATTGGTAAACTCAGCTGATTGAATCATAGACATATTTTTTAGGGTCCAATCTGCTGCGGTCACGTATTGCAAACTCAAGTTAAGTTCTTTGAAACATGTTTAGACTTTAGTGATAAATGGTTTACAGTTGACGGAAATGAGTTAAATGTCAATATCGGTTTTATTTCTAACGTATTATTAGATTGCGATGTCAAGCGATATAGATACCATTTAATAAGTAAATACTTGTTATCTATTAAGTTTAAGTTAAAAAAAAAAAAACATGACAGAACATAGAAGTCTCATACCAACTTATCATTTAACACCGCCCTGTTCACCACAGCCTGAATAAACTTTAGATCTGAGCGAACGAGACAAATTATTATTTTTTACTATTTACTATTTAAACAGAAGCAGAGTACTTATTTGTAAGTTAAGTCGGTCGACCAAAGACCAAACAATCACAACATACCTAATATAGACAAATGCAATGTGCCATTCCGACATTTTGTTTGTTTTGTGTATACATGCATAATAGTTAGTTTTTTCTTTTTATGAAGAAATTTATTAGCACTGAGACACGTTAGTTTAGAATTGTTTATATACGTAAATCGATATTAAGACGGCAGCGGCTACGAAGATAAAATACGTTAAAGTATGCAACCCGTATAAACTAGTGCCCACCGCCGTGTATCCTAAATTTTCTAGCATAGCGGCCTGCCGAATAACCGTATCTACGTCGTGACCCAACATCATAGCTAGAGCGCCGAAAAAATCTAATTGCGTACATCTGTATTCGATGTTAACGTTTGATATGTGCGGATCCTCTTGGACACTGTCGCAATGTTTACACGCCGTAGGGCTGTCAGCTCCACAAAGCGTATTTTTTAGCGTATCTGGTAAATCCGACGGTGTACATAGCTGAATGTGGGATTTTTCCGACGTCGACTTGGCGTGACACGAACACTGCAGTACTTTACAAACGTGTAGAGCGCCGTTGACATTTTCGAACCGAAAACATCCGCTCATCTCGTTAGCGTACTCGTGCACGTAGTTGGACACGCCGACGACGCCGGCTCCGGCTAAAAATGTTAACGCCCGACCGGTCAACGTTTTTGGTGTACGTTGAGATATGTATTCAAGCGCTTGTCGTACTTTCGACGTTTTCGGTAACGCCGCTGCGTCCGCACTCAGTTTGGCTTTATCTGATGCGTCGGCAAAATAAGAACTTTCTTCGCGTAACGAGGTCTCTAGCCGTTGTATTTTTTTCAACCGGTACGCTGGAAGGCTTTTATATTCTGCCGTCAAATCGACGATCGCGTTCGGGTTGTTTTTTGCGAAAACGTCGAAATCAGCGCCTATCGATTTGAACGCTTCCTCAAAATCGCCCGTTTTCAATTTACCTGCTATATGTGACGCGAACGAATCTCCTATGCGTAATTTTGAATTTTCGATCGAGTATAGTGATTTATTGGCAAACATTTTCTGCAGGCCGGAATGCGATACTGATTTTGTAATATTAGACGTAATGGACTCCACGTCTTCAGTTATCTCGCCGGAGTGGTGTGCTATACTTGCCAGAAATCCCATATTAGTGTCAGTACTAATTCTATTTGTATTTAGCGCCTATTCGTTTTTTTTTTTGTACATCCGCTGACGTAGGTAGACCCGGATCTTGAAATGTATTTCGCATAAACTCACAGACGTGACAAGTTCAAAACTTAAAATTAGTACCGGTAGTTCTGCTGATTACCACTGAGGGGAATGCGACGGCAAGGCGCTCTGAGTGTTTTTGTAGGACGTGCTTATTCAATAGTCTGATCTCATCGGCTTTTTATAAGCTATTTGTAAACTCAATAATACTTCAATAGGAAGCGCGGGGGGGGCTCCTAAAGTCCGGATAGACAATCTAATGGCTAATTACAATCTATGGCTAATTGTAAATTTTACCTTTAGTGGCTGATTTAACCTATCTGCGCGGCGGCTGTTGGTCAATTCGGACGCGACCACATGCGAAACAGCTATTTCGCTAATGAATTATTACTATTTACTTGTAGGCCGCAACTGGGAGGGTAAATAGTTATATTTCATTTCCTCGGTATACTAATTGATTTGCGGAATCAGCCATATTATGTAATTAAAAAAAAAACACACATGCACAAACCCTATAGAGAATTTACTTATTTATTGATTGCGAATACAACACTTGAGTCGGTACTAATAATTCCTATTGCGTACAAAATAATTTCATGTGCCGTTGTCTGGTAATATTTCCCAAAAATGTGTGAGCTGGGAAGCGGTCTCCGAGCCAAGCGTCGTCTGCAACCAATACCCCTCGTTGTCATCGCCGAAAATGTTCTCTTTTTCCGACTCTAGGAACGCCGAACAATATTTTTTCAACTTTTTCGACGAACCACAATGTTTCATTTTGATAATAAGAGAAATTTCAATCTGCATTGACCGTCTAAAACCTGCTGGAGTCGGCGCTGATATCGAGCCCATGATTCGACCTGAAATCAAAAGTTGGATATCTAGAATTACGGCTAGAGTTCTATATTATGTGTTTACTTAGTAAGACTGGTTAATATTTTTTTCCGTAATCGCATTGCCGCAGAGCTTACGGCACACGTTAGTTCAATCGATAACTTTTATTTCATCGCTATAAGGGTAATAACATTCTCGACTACAGTCGAAACCAATTATTATGCTGATTGTGCGGTACAACAAAATATACGGATTTTATGATCGTAGTGGTCAATTAAAATTCGTTGACGGCGTGACGTTAAACGTAGAATTCGACGATGAAGTCGATTTAAAACAATGCGTAAAATCTCAATTGTTTACAGTGAAAAGACTTTTTTCCGCCCGCGATATTCCCGATCAATTAGTTTTAAATGCTGTTGAGTACGCCGATAGGTTACAGTCGGATTTTACACGTTTTTTTACCGACAGCGTTAAATACCGCCAACAAGATCGCACTAATAATTGTTCGTTTGTGGCCAACGAAACCACCAGCGCAACCGTCGGCGATCACCAATACGCCAGTGACGACGATAGGGGAGCCTTGACGGACGTGCTGTCAACTGATGCCATGACAAAATTAATAGCAATCGCCTTTAACTGCATTGGTAAAAAAATAACGCACATCACAGACTACTTGGACGACATTAACAAATGTTTAACCGAAACGATGAACCACACGTATCAAAACGAGCGCTATAACAATTTGAAACAAAAATGTCAACAAACTATGAAACGCATCAGACTTACAGACGATTTAGCTGATTACGTTAAACTTAGTCAAACATTAATGGAATTAGTGGTAACCATGCGCAAACCATATATAACATACGGCTTACTATCGATTTTATTGATGCACACTACTCTAGCGCTGAACAAATCACAAAACAATAGAATATCGGTCCAATCGGATGTACATATGACCGTCACCGACGTATATTCTAATATCGCTTTAATGATAATCGTGGAGAACTTACGGCAACCGAAAGACGAATATTGTTTGAATTTACTCGCAGATATTTGCGGGTACTCCGCCGACGGTATTAAACCCATCAGTGGATTAGACTGTCATACGACGAAATATTATTTGTTC